ATTGGCATTTTTTTTTTTTTTGTTTCTTCACATGATTTGGGGTTTTTATTTTTATTTTTTATTTATTTATTTAAAGATTTTATTTATTTATTTATTTGACAGACAGAAATCACAAGTAGGCAGAGAGGCAGGCAGAGAGAGAGAAGGGGAAGCAGGCTCCCTACCGAGCAGAGAGCCTGATGTGGGACTCGATCCCAGGACCCTGAGATCATGACCTGAGCCGAAAGCAGAGGCTTAACCCACTGAGCCACCCAGGTGTCCCTGATTTGGGGTTTTTAAATTGGATTCCAGGCATTGTGAATTTTAGCTTGTTAGGTGCTGGACATTTTTGTTTTCATATAAATATTCTTAATTTTTTTCCTGGGATGAAATTAAGAAACAGTTTAATCTTTTTATGTCTTGTTTGTAAGACATGTTTAGGCAGAATCAGAGCAGCATTTAACCTAAGGCTAATTATTTCTCACTACTGAAATAAGACACTTCTGAGTATTCTACCAGATGTTTCATGGGTTATGAGGTTTTCCCTTCTGGCTGGTGTAAACAGGTCATATTCCTGGTCCTCTGTGAACACCAAAGAACATTTTCTCTGATACTTTTTGGGTGGTTATTTGCTAGCATGCATTTAGTTTCTCACACATATACACTCACTACCCCTGCAGATCTCCAGAGTTCCCTTTTTGGGTAGTTCTCTCATCTCTGGTTATTTGTACTGTAAACTCTAGCCACTTTGGTCTCAATGGATGCTGAGATTAACCTACTCACCTCAGGGAATAAACTGGGTTCTGCTTTGGCCTCCACTTCCAGCATGGCCTGATAACTGTCTTACAGAATTAAAAGAGGGCAATTTTAGGGCTTCCCTTGTTTCCTATCTCTTATAGATTGCTGTCCTTAATGGCCTGGTAACCAGTGTCTTAAAAATCACAGTTGCATATATTTTGTCCTTTGTTTTGAAGGGGGAGGGTTATTTCAAAGAGATGATGAAACTGGTTTCTGTTATTTCAACTTGGCTGGAAATAGAAGCCCTACATCCCAGAGGATTTCCAACAGACCCAGAGTCTTATAACATTATATGTAAAATGTCAAGAATACAATTTAAACCTACTTCATATACAAAGAAGAGAGAAAATCTCAATAACTCATATGGAAAAAACTTTCAACAGCTGCATACCTGGTGGTGATGTAAATCCTGATGATCTAAGTCCAACAAAACTTTAAAGCAGCTACAGTAACTGTGTTTCATGAAGTAAGGTTGAACACCCTTGGAACAAATGGAAAGATAGTAGTTCTCAGCAGGGGAAGAGAAACTGTAAAAAAAGAATAAAATGGACATTTTAGAACTAAAAAAAAGTAATGACACAGAAAAGAATCTGTAAACTTGAATAGAGTAATAGAAATTATCCAATTTGAAAAGCAGAGAAAAATATTTTTGGGAAAAAAGTTTGAACAGAGTGTCAGAGTCCTGTGGAATAGATAAGAAGACATAACATTCATGACAGTTGAAACCTAGGAGGGGAGAAGATATAAGTAGAATAGATATAAGTAGAATATAATGCAGAATAAGTATTGAAGAAATAATGGCTGAAAATTTCCAAAATTTGGAAAAAGACATAAATTTACAGATTCAGGAAACTTAAAGAACCCTTCACTGGATCAACTCAAAGGAAACCATGCCCAGATATATCTTAACTAAACTGCTGAAAATCAATATTCAAAATCTTAAAAGCTATCAGAGAAAAAAATTACACATTATATTTGAATGACTGGATTTTTCATGAGAAACAATGATGGCTAGAATAAAGTGACACATTTTAAAAGTAGTGTAAAAAATGAACTGTCAACCCAGTTCTCTATCCAGTAAGAATATCTTTAAGAATGAAGCAATAATGACATCAGTCTGAGTTGAAAGAAAACTAAGAGAACTAGTCAAAAGCAGGCCTTCTCTAAAAAAAATGTTAAAGGAGGCACTACAGGAAAAATAAAAATTAGGCATGAAGGAAGCACAACATAAGTGGTAAATAACTAGGTAAATATGACATTTTTTCCTCAAATTCTTTAGAATATGTATGATAACAAAAATTATAATACTGTCTGGTAAGGTTTTAATACCTGTAGATGTAATATGACAATTATAAATCTAACATAAAATGGGGAGAATACAGTTTCTACATTTCAGAAGAGGTAAAATATTAATTTTAGTAAACTGTAAAAAGTGACATATGTATGTAGTAATGCCTATAACAGCCCCTAAGAAAAGACAATAGAGACAAAAAGACGGTAGATAAGATGGAATATAAATATATAGCTAAATATTTTAAAAAAATCCACAAAAGGGAAATAAATTAGGAGGAAGGATGATTTTAAAAAAAATCCACAAAAGGGGAAAAGGAGCATATAAAATAGAGGGGATAAAAAGAAAAATAATGACAAAACAATAACTTATCAATAATTACATTAAATTTGAATGGTCTAAGCCTACCAAATAAAAGACAGTGATCATTAGATTAAAAAAAAAAACTAAGACTCTAATATATGTTATTGAGAAATAACCCACTTGAAACATCCTGGTATGGATAGGTTAAAAGTAAAAAGAAAAATATGTAACATATACTTATCAAAAGAAAGCTGGATTGTCTCTATTAATATTAAGGAAAGTAGACTTTAGAACAAGGAAAATTACCAAGGGGCGTCATTATGTAATAGGGTCAATACACTAAGACGACATACAATCTTTAATATGTATGCATACACAGAAAAATCAAAACCAAAACCAAAAGTGGTATTAAAATACAACTGGAAGAACTTCAAGGAGAAATAAGCCCACAATTATAGCTGGAGGCTTTCAGTGTCCTCTTTCAGTAATAGAACAATTAGACAAAAAATAAGACTATAGAAGACATGAACAACACCATTCCAACAAAGAACAACAGAATACAAATTTTTTTCAACTGCACAGGGACCACTTATCAAGATAGAACATATACTGAGTCATAAAACAACCTTAACACATTTAAAATTATTGAAATCATGCAAAGTATATCCTCTAACCATAATGGAATTAATCTAGAAATCAATAACAGAAAAATAACTGGGAGATCCCTCAATTCTTAGAAATTAGATAACGGTTTAGATAAAAATTAGATAATAAATAGTCCACTGGCCAGAAAGCAAGTCTCAGAGAATATCAGAAAACATTGTGAACTGAATGAAAATGAAAATATAACATATCAGAATTGGTGAGGTAAAACTACAATAGTACTTAAGAGGGAAAAAATGTCATTAAATGCATATATGAGGAAAAAAAGGGGCCTCAAGTTAATAATATAATTCTATGTAGGGAACTAGAAAAGAAGAACAAAGTAAACCAAGGTTATCAGAAGGAAGAAAATAATAGAAAGCAGAAATCCATAAAATTGAAAACAGAAAAATAATAAGTACAACCAGAAACTGGCTTTTTCAAAAGAGCAATAAGATCAGGTAAAACTTTGTACAGATTGACCAAAAAACAAAAAACAGGAGAGTACACACAAATTACAATATTAGGAGGAAAAATGATGGCATTATTATAGATCCAACAAACATTAAATGTGTACTAAGGGAATATTATAAAGAACTTTATGCACATAAATGTAACAACATGGATGAAATAGAAATTCCTCTGAATATGCAAACTGCCAAAACATATTGAAGAAGAAATAGAGAGCTTGAATTCTGTATTTATTAAAGAAATGGAATTCAGTGTTAAATGCATAGGTCAATATGGACAGAGAAAAATAATTAAGACTAACTTACTGAGGTAGGGCTCCTTATTTTGTCCCTGCTGAGCAAAATACTGGTCCCTCAGATCTGAGATTTTGGTTGTTAATTTATACGATGAAGGGTGTTGAGCAGTGGGTAGGCTTTAAACAAATGTCTTGAAATAGGAGAATGATATGCTAAATGGTTTTTAAGGTCTTAATCTCAAATTAAGGAGATTTTGGCAAATGTGTTTTGGAATAGATATCTACTTAGAATAAATAGCTTCTAGAGACAGGGATAGTAACCAGGAGGCTGTTACTGAAATGTGGTGGTAAGGATTTGATCTAGGCAGGCAGTTTTCAAAAATGAATATAAGGGCTAAATCTAAGAACTGGTATAGTTTATGTGTAACCACATGTTTATCTTTATTTTTCTCCAAGTAAGGTATTTTTCTATATAAGATAATACAAGGCTATGCTCTTTGGGTAAAAGACAATACATATTAAGTAAGCATTTCTAAAGCATCTGGAAAGAACTGCCCAGTTCAAAACCCTTTTTCCTCATCTGTTCTTGACAGTGAAACATGTTTTGGACTAGCTGTATTTCCACAATAGTTTTTTTTTTTTTTTTTCTAAAGACACTAAAATGACTGAATTCTCCAGGCAGAAAATGAAAACCCTAAAATAGAGGCAGAATAACAAGTATTACTTCTGTTAAACAAATATAGAATTTAAATACACAATTGAGCTGCTTCTGTTTGTACGCTTTAACATTTAAATCTTCTTACCACCTTACAATAATTGAAATTGCCCAAAGAAAAATAACCAATTTGAAATGGAATAAAATGAACCTGGTGGTCTCAGGAACAAGCACATTAGTCAAGTAGCATCGGCAAAATCCACTTTTGTATGTAATTTCAAGAATAAGCCTTTAGGTCAGCATTGAGTTTGTGCTTGTGCCGAGAGCTAAAACAATGTGGCCAGCAAGAACAGCTCTTATGTGATGTTCTCAGTGTTTCTAACTTTGTCCCCATCTGTTTGAAAATTTCTGCAGTGGTGCCCAGAACAGCTTGTTGGTAAGAAGGAGGAAGTTTCAAGGGACAATTTTTTCTACAGACCAAATAATCTTCAAACTCAAAAGAGAATCAAGGTGGTCTTTTAAGCTCTCCCTATTCTAAATTTTGTTCATGGATCAGCAGCATTAACATATCCTGAGAGCATGCTGGGAATGCAGGATCTCAGCTCCCAACCCCCTACTATTACCTACTGAATCAGAATGTGACCATTTTATCAAGACCTCCAGGTGATATTACAATTTGAGACAATGTGTTTTAAGCTCTTTGAACAGGTTTTTGTGGGAAAGTGGTTTGAGAGATGAGGGGTTTACATATCTTCAGAGACAAGTGCTGATTCTTTAGGTGAAGGTTTTGGCTTTGCAGCAATATGACAGAACAGCATGCAGGGACCATACAGAAGAGGAAAAGACCTCTGCAGGCAATGATGCTGGGAGAGCAAACCTCCTGTGGCATAGCAGAGTTCCTGGAGACCTCTGGGATGCTCATCAAGGTTAAAGGTGAGAGTTTCAATATCAGGCAGGTGGTATTAATGCTTTCTTCACAATCCACCAGTTTTTCCAAGTATGCGCATGTTCAAGGAGTCAATCTCCCAGCAGTTTATCAGACCAAGAGAAAACGATTAGACTTGTAAACAGTATGACTTTTTAATCACACAAGACATCTCCCTCCCATAGGAGGGACACATTGAAAAGGTTCAGTTTGTAATTCACAACCTGGAGAGATGCTGAGAGCCATCCTAGGGTCCAAATTCAGTCTGTCTCCAATTTCCAAAGAGCAATCCTGGCCCGAACCTCTGGACACACACAGAACTCTGCCAATTACAGCTTGTGCAGGATGAGGAAATCCCTCCCTTGTACGTCTCTGGCAGTCAGGATCCCTCTACTTCATCTCAGGATTAATTTTCTAGCTAAACCTTTGTACTCGTTGTTCTCAAAGATCTTTATGAGGAGAACAGATGGATCTGGATGATCTAGATGAGCCTGGCTGAGTGGTTTCACACGTCGATGGAGCACCGAGTTGGGCTTGGGTGGGGCAGAGCTCCCCTTCCTTGTTTCTCCATTTGGATCTCTGTGTCTCCTGCAGCAGCTACTTTCGTGACCTTTAGTTGGCTCATTAATGGGATTCCGTTTAGAAATGACTATACAAGTGATATCTAAATGTCAAATAATAAGGGTGTTTAGCCATGTGCTTTTGTTGACTGCTCACCCTGTCATCTTAGGACTCTCTGACGGTGCTATGCTTGGGTACTTAAAACGTTCTTCACTGAATCATTCTCAAAGCTTCTGAAGACTCCAACAGTGAATTACCACAGGTAACCTTCATAGAATCCCCAGGCCCCAACATCCTGATATTAGAGACAATAAAGAACAGGGGGAAGAATACTGCCTCGGAAGCCAGACACAAGGGTGTTAGCACCTTAGCTCCGTGCCACCTTGAGCAAGTTACTTAAGCCTCATTGAGCTTCAGTTCCTCACTGTAATAGATATTATTACATAACATCTATTGCACAGATTTATGTGAGGATTCAAAGAGATAAAGGGAAGTCCCTTAGCAAAACCACTTGCACTTACTAGAGAATCAAGAGAATCACAAAGACTCCCTTTTCCTTTGTGTGGTGAATATTTATTTTATGGTTTCCCTGGAGTACTGAGCCCAAGTCAATACTTAGGTGTCAAAGTTTTGCTGAGGGGGTGTAATACAGGGAAGCAAAAGAGAAGGAACCAGGTAAGCAAAGTAGGGGATGAGAGAGTGCAAATACAAAGGAGTTCATTCCAAGCTGTAGAGACCTTACCAGGAAACTTATTGGTTCCTCAGTCGTGTAGGACAACTCCAGAGAAGGAAAATGGAAATATTGGGTCTCAGAATAGTCTCTCGGGGAGAAGAAGGGAGAAGAATCTGTTGGCTCCTTTCACTCTCCTTTTGCTCACTGAACAGCCTCCCCTTCTTTCCACCATTGGGGTGTAACTCCCCCACATTTCCGGTTATTTTTTTCCCCAAGAGCAGTGGCACTTGCATGAGCCAGCAACATTTCACGCACTTTTTGCAAACTGTATTCTGAAAGACCCATCCTGGAAAGCCAGGATGGGTTGAGGAGCTTATGAAACTTTTGGAATCTGTACTTTAGCAATGACAGCACAAGGGCAGAAGAGAGAGCCTTGTAGTATGAGGTCAGAGGTGTGAGGGGAGACATGGTTTGGTCCTGCTTCTAACAACATGGGAAATCAAAACCAGCCACATATGGAAGCAGGGCCAAGTGCCAGGCAGCCTAGCACAACAAAAGATCAGCCTCCATCCTAAGGGCAAGCACAGAGTTCAGCAAGCTTCTCTTCAATTAAAGACGGACATCATTTCTCTGCACCAATAAAAACATCATTTTATCACCAAGCAGACAACATAGCCAAGCAAATCTGAGAAATGCATAAACTGGGTCTGATGTTATAAGAATAGGATATGAGCTTTCAACAGCTTATGAAAGCGAATGGATATAAATTGGCTCACTACACAGTTATGACCTGAGTCAAGTTAATTTTGGGGGTCCATCTGATTAGAGCTCAGAAGAAGGGTTGGGGTTTAGAGACATCGCTGGGCAGAGTTAACTTGTTATCTGACTTCAGAGTCCATGTTCAACCATGTCACTGTACCTACTACCTCAGCACAGCCATGGCAGTAAAGCTGTGGGACTGAATATTGTTGCCCAGCATGAGTGGAGATGAGGCCTCAGGTCTCAATGTGCCTGCAGTGACAGAACAAGAGGCTGTGGAAGATGTAGAAGACACTGCGGGGGAAGGGGAGAAGGAAAAAGAGAAAGTTTTAGTATCAGAGAAGGAAGAGAGAAATCAAGAAACTAAGCAGGACACTTGGGATGAGCAGCTGGTGATGTATGGGATTGTGGAATCACTGTACTGTACACCTGAAACTCCTGGAACACTGCATGTTAACGATACTGGGATGAAAATAAAATTTTAAAATTTAAATTTTAAAATAAACACATTTTAAAACTTTTTTTTTTTTTTTTCGTGCAAAATGGTGATTTTTTTAAAGCACAGGGACAGGACCCATGGGCAGAAAGAGCTGCTGCCCCGGGTTGTGAGAGATGGCAGGTTATGTACCCTGCCATCTCTCTGGGGGAAGGTGAGGGGAAGGGAGGTTTCAAGGGAGTTTTCATATGCTAAAGAGGGCCTACAAGGTGCCGGAATACCGGAGGCCTTGCGGCTTGATCAATGTTGTCTTTTGGACAGCCATTAACATCAAGATAGTTGGGAGATTCCTGGTGGGATGTCACAATCCTGCTATCAAGCGTCTTTGTTAGTGAGATTTAGGTTCAGAAGAGATTTAACTATATTTACATTTCCTTCTATCTCAGCCTCTGTCAGTTTTGTTTACGGAGAGGAGGGTGACATTAGGGTTTGAGGAACTGAGTTATTTGCCTCTGGAAATTGTGCTATTGATAAGGTAACTTCTTTGTTTGTAGATCTCTAGGACATTTGTAAACCAAGGGAGACTCCTGTCTTGTAGGATTGTGATTTCTGCAAGTTAACTATTTGTTTCTCGCTTATGGCAGTCAGAAATAAATTAAGAAAAAAGGAATTGTTAGGTTGAAGGGAGTAACCATCGATTTCATGTGAGGCTGAGAAGCCAACCTAGAAGAACAGGAATAAGAAACAAGATAATGGGGAAAAGAAAAAGAAACAAGATAACAGAGTTTTGTAATTGCTGCCTTGCCCAGAACAATTTCTGTGGCAAGATGGGGGCTGGGAATATTGCTAAGGATTGAGCAGTGCGATAAAAGTGAGGAAACAGAGCTAGTATTTTTTTTTTCTTGAAAATATGTGTACTCAAGATTGTCAGATAAGGAAAGAAAGAAAAGTTTTGGTAGCTCTAGGAGAAGCAGAATTGAGGTAAAGTATGGATAGATCGATAGATACCATAATTCATCTATTTCATCTGCCTGGGTATCATTGCCTATTTCTAGTTGTTGACAATTAGAAATAGTGATGCTATAAATATTCTTGTAAATGTCTCTGGGTATATGTGTGTGCCTGTTTTGGCTGAATGTATTTGTAGGGAGAGTGATAGTGCATTTCGACATTCAACTGATAGCACAGTTTATTGATATGTCAGAGCACGTTAATCAAACCATCTGAAATCTTAACTGTGTGTATCTGCTCGCTCTGTAAATTACTGGTAGAGGTATGTTAAAACCTACAGTACATTACTGACATATACTTCCTCTTTTGTTAATTTTTGCTGTCTATATTTAGAAGGATATGCAAATTTAAGAGTATATTTAAACATATACGGATTTAGAATTTTTTGTTTTTTCCTGGTAAATTGAATTTTTTATCTCTATGATACTTCCTTTTCTTATCTCTTGTAATATTTCCTGTCTCCATGTTTTCTTTATGTGATGTACACTGTCTTTTGGTTAGGATTTGGAAGGAATCTATTTTTTGCTATCTTTTTATAATATCTTTATTTTATTAAAAGATTTATTTATTTGAAGGAGAGAAAGAGCACAAACAGGGAGGAGGGGCAGAGGGAGAGGGAAAAGCAGGCTCCTCCCTGAGCAGGAAGCCCAACGATGTGGGGATTGATCCCAGGACCCTGGGATCATGACCTGAGCCAAAGGTAGATACTTAACTGAATGAACCATCCAGATGCCTCTATAATCTTTATAACCTTATATGTAAGATGTATTTATTGTAATCAGAATATAATTGTTTTATCCCACCTTCTCTGATCAAATTTTCCTATTTGTAAAGCATTTTTATCTATTTATGTTTATTACAATGATGTAGAAACAAGGTATTTTTTTTTTAAGATGGTGGAAGCATTCATTCTACTTGTAGGCAGAGGGGAAAGAAACAAAATTAAAATGTTGAAAAAATTAAGAGAGGGAAAGGAAATTGAGACTGACAAGGTATGTTCTAGAGGTGATGGATGGCAGTGATATTTGGAATCCAGAGCATAAGACAAGGGGTCATCTTACAGAGGAAGCCTGGGAGGACTGGTACAGATCTGTGTTTGGTGGTAGTATGAGAAGATATTTAGGAAGGTAGTCTCTACTGGCCTCTATTTTTCTCCCCAGGTGGGAAAAAGGTCTTCTGCTAATATATATGCAAGCAGAACTGAGAGTTTTAGGGACACGGAAAGGTTTTGCAAGTGCCATCAATGGTCAATGGGAAAGGGAGGGTGTCAGTGGGAGAGAGGCATTTGTTTGGTAGGTGAGGGAGAGTCCTCCAGCAACTGTAAAATCACCCTCCAACTAGCTGTCAACTTGCTTTTCTCTGGAGTCCTCAAGTCCCACATCCTTCTATGTCCCCATTATCACAGCTCTGAGGAAGCAGCTTTCCCAGATACTGCTAATGCTGCTATTGGAATGAAACCTTGGAAGGAGACTATGTGGAATGGCAGAGAGGAAGACTTTTTTACTCTTCCCTTGATTTCTGTCTTATGTGTAATCTAAATTGATCTGACTTTTTTTTTTTTCCACACAAGCTGGTATCCCTGTATGCACTATGTTATAATCTTCTATTTATAGAGTGGCTCATTTAATATGTCTCAGCTTGTGTTCACTGAACGATGAGATGGCTGGGGTGGGGGGTTGGCTATGGTGCTAGGAAGCCTGTGGTTCTCTAATACTGACCTCTTTTTGGCTTTACATTTTGCTGGGTTTTGCCTTTTCAACTTCTGCATCCTTAGCATAAAATCCTTACTAGTTTGTGAGACAAAAGAGCCCCGTGGTCAAATTCACAGGTTCTGAAGTTAAATTACCTAGTTTCAAAACATGACTCCATCTCTTACAAACTTTATTGCCTTGAACAAGTTCTTGACCTTCTTGGACTTCATTATTTGTAAAATGAGGATAAAATGATATCCTCACAGATTTTTCAGGAGGAGAAAATAGCACACATGTGGTGATTAGTTTAAGCTGTCATCTGGGTTAGACCATAGTACTCAGCTATTCAGTTAAACACTAATCTAGGGATTGCTCTGAAGGTATTTTGTAGATGTGGTCAACATGTATAATCAAAAGACATTAAGTAAAGGAGATTATCCTCTACACTCTGAATTGGCAGCATCCAATCCGTTGAAAAGCCCTAGGTGAAGCATCACACTGAGATTTCTTGAGGAGGAAGAAATTCTGCTTCAAGATGGCAGCATCAATTCCCACCTGACAGTCTCCATTCTCCTGGTCTGCCATGTGGACTTTGAACTTGTCAGCCTCACCAGTGTGTAAGGCAATTCCTCAAAGTCGATTGAGCTGTATGTACATCCCACTGGTTCTGTCATTCTGGAGAACCCTAATACACACATCCAGAGCAGTTAGCACAGTGCCTTGCCCATCATAGTCCCCGCAACGTATAGACTAATCACTGTTATTTTATACATATCTTTTTAATATAGAGGATTCTTTCTGGAAACATGGGTTGCCAGGGGATAATCCCCATGAAAATGCAATCTTGACAGTTACTCATTTTTGTCATACTTCCCAAAGTTGTGACATGTGTCTGTTCTATTTTCCTAGTGCAACAATGATGCTTATGACTCTTCATAATGTCTTATTTCTTGCATGGCCCTCTACGTAGCAGCTGATTTTCACCTTGTGCTTCTATGACATTCCCTTGGGAAGGCCACTAGCCACTAAACCTGCATTTCACATCACCCTTCAGCTTTTCCATGAGGCCTTGCAGTATTGGAGGCACTGTCACCAATGTACCCTTTTTAATTTGGTGAGTCCCTTGAACCACAAGAATATCCAATAATGGCAGAGGGACCAGAGAGTTAAACCTCACTGAGATTGAGCAAAGTACCCTATGGGAAGTTGGTTCACTGGTGAAGAACTTAGGACACTCTATGTATTATACTCATTATATATAAGAAAACATTTTTTTGTAGGTCAAAAAGGTTGAATGTTGGTAATTTCACTTGCTTCACTGTTCTAATTATACTCTGACTCACTATAATGGATTTATATAGTCGTTATTTTTAATACAAATATTTCTTTGGTGAGACTATTATAACAAATCAGTGCTGTATAGGGCAGTGTTAAGAAACATGTGTCTAATTAATGTTGTTATTATTATTAGACTTTAGTAATAGTGACAGGAAATCCAAGGCAATCCAGAGATGAGTCTTGGCCTTTAACATGCCACTTTTCACCAGGAAATGGTCTCTTGGAGAAATGGGAGAGTAGGCTGGGCATTGGAGCTCTCTCATTAGTGATATCACAACAGGAAGTTTGCAGCATAAGCCTGCAGCCCAGAGAGCCATCACTAAGCCATATGTTTGTTCCTGTGGATCCAGATCCAACCATTGGGAAAGATAAGTATTAAGTGTCATAATATCAGCTCTTCTCTGCCAGTAAGCTATTTTCACTATTTTAGGGATTTTCAGGACAGATGGCACCAAAGACTGAGGCAAAACGCTAAGCAATGCTTTGTATATATGCATGGGTTTTTGGAAAGGAGAAAAATACTGAATTTTATTTATTAAAAGAATTTTTTAAAAATCCTGTCTCATACTTCACATCATCTACACAAATAAGCAAAGTGGTACGTCCTTAATAGATGCTCAATTAAAATATAAACTGCAGAGTGTGGTGTATTAGTACAAAAGCCTTAATATTTAAGCTTGATTAACTGGGCCTGAATTCTAGGTCTGTCACCAAATAGTTGTATAACTTTGGGCAAGTTAACCTCTCTATAATTTAGTTTTCTCTTTTGCAAAATGGGGATAGAAACAATCTTCTATCTTAAAGGGTTGTGGTGAGATAATACTTGTTAACTATGATGTCTGGTATAAAAGAAACATGGTATGTGTAGACTATTATTATTATTAATTGAGCGATTTTTGGTATATAAGGGAAATTTCAAAGTTCAATTTGTGAAGAAAAACAAGTGGGGAGGGGGTGACTGCCTGGCTCAGCTGGTGAAGCATGCCACTCTTGATGTTGGGGTCATGAGTTTGAGCCCCATGTTGGGGGTAGAGATTACTTAAATAAGTAAATATTTTCTAAAAAGTAAAGTTCAAAAAAAAAAAAGTAAAGTTCAGGGGTGTTTGGGTTGTTCAGTTGGTTAAGCGTCTGACTCTTGATTTCGGTTCAGGTCATGATCTCAGGGTCGTGAAATCAAACCCCACTTTGGCCTTTGTGTTCAGTGTGGACTCTGCTCGAGATTCTCCCTCTGCCTTTCCCTCTGCCCCACCCCTGTGCTCGTGTTCTCGTTCTCCAAAAATAAATAAATAAAGTATTTTAAAGAGTAAAAATTGTGTTACAAAGCGGCATTAAAATCCCAAACACCCAACAATTCTCAAAATGTCCAAACTCCAGAAACAATACAATTTTCCCTCTGCATTAGAATGGTATGATATTAATTACTATGTGCTATTATGTATGTCATTGGCCATTGGTCAGATTGGACTTCCTGATTTATGAGGACTTTTGTTGTATTTATTTCTGCTCTATGCCATTTCTTCCTCCTGGTATTTGATTACCTTTGCCAAATGCCTGAAATGGCTTATACTATCATTTCCCTCCCTAGTGAATGACACGGCATTGGTAATGATTACTAAGAACAGCCAAGAAGATAACTGGACTGATGCATCCACATCTACCTTCTCAGCCTCAAAGTGAAGATGGTACCTATGTATTTTGTCCACTGTGAGTTAAAAAATGAATATATTTTGCTCTTATATTGCTATGTGGCATTTGAGAATCCAACAGTCTGTAATCAAAGGAAAGCACTATTCCAAAACTACCAGCTTCTTTGAATGCTATACCTCACAGGAATTCAGAGAAGCCCTAAGCATCTTTATCAGTTATTTTCAAAAGATTTATTGGAGAAAGCTTGGCGTCTTAACACTGCATGATTTTTCTCACTGCTCTGAAAACTGCATTCAGATTCACCCCAAAGCCACTGAACTTGCATCAGAAAATTCAGCCTTAGAGCAGAGAAATGGCCTTTCCAATAAAAGTGATAAAAATAACTTGAAATTTCCTGGGTGCCTTTCTCCTGAAATACTCCTAAAGCCTTTACATGATTAAGTAAAAGGATTTTTATCCCAGAAGGGTTTATTTTCCTGGGTGGTATTTGATTGGTAAAGTTTCTTAAAGTTTACATGTATTTCTGAACATCTTTCTCATCTTCTGTGGTTGTGTTGTCAGATTCAATACATTTCGATTTAACTTCTTATGGATGTCTATTTCTTTTTAAAAGAAAAAAAAATCAACATTAAGAGCTGAGTCATTGAGTTCCTTTATCATTCAGTTTCTCTGAAGAGCATTTTGTTTCCAAAAACTTCCTTCTTGTTCATCCACTCCTAACTTCATCCTTCCATTTCATTTGGGGTATTTCCAGCTGGGGCTCATGAGCTGACATAGTGCTTATACTCCCAGGACCTCAGGCCCCAATTAACAGCCTTCCTTTTTAATAAAATTGTCATATTTCATTAATTGATGTTCAGACTTTTGGGGCTTGGTTCTCCCAGAAAGTTAAATCTGTTTCCTTCCATTGTGTGATGGTTAATCCTGTTATCTGTACTCCTGTCCCTCTGTCTGCCCTGCATGTATATTTGTCTGTGACGTTGAAGAAATAAACTTATATTCCTACACCCCTAAGTTTTCAATTTCTTAATTTTTTCAATATTTCTTTAATTTCATCCACATTATTCAAATTTTCCAACTCTGATTTAATTGTATTATATAAAAGCAAGTATTTCTGTTTTTCAGAATCTTTTTTTTTCTATTATAAGAGCAACATACATTCATTACAAAAAGGAGTTAAACATTCCATACGTAATTCCACCTCAAGGAGAGTAACAATGCCCATATTTTATCCCCAGTTTTGTTTTTGACTTTAAAGAAATCCAAATTGAGATCACATCTAATTGGAATGAAGTTTAAGAAAAATCAGAATCGGGGCGCCTGGGTGGCTCAGTCAGTTAAGCAGCTGCCTTCTGCTCAGGTCATGATCCCAGGGTCCTGGGATTGAGTCCCACATTAGGCTCCCTGCTCAGTGGAGAGCCTGCTTCTCCCTCTGCCTGCTGCTCTGCCTACTTGTGCTCTCTCTGTGTCAAATAAATAAAAAACCTAAAAAAAAAAGCTAAAAAATAAATAAAAAGAAAAATCAGAACCAAAAAAAGAACCAGTGCACTAAGCATGATGCACCAAGTATTTACAGATTTTCTACATTGTAGATTCATAATAGATATATTTGTATAGATTTAAAAAATATTTTATATCATTTGTGAACATTTTCCCAGGTCTTACTATTTAAAAAAATATTGCCTTCCCCAAACTGTATGAGTTTATTGTTTGAAAGCACCTGAGGGTTTATGTACTCCAAAGTGCTTATAAAACGTTAGCTACTGAATGATAAATTATGTTGCTTTGGACTTCAAAGGAAAGAAAATAACAATAGACCATGGTCCACGGAAAGTGAAGGGACAATTGCAAATGCAAAAAACTTTGGATTATGTATGTTGGTAAGGGTTCTCCAGAACAGAACCAATAGAGAGAGAGAGAGTGTGTGTGTGTGTGTGTGCGTGCGTGTGTCTGTATTCATGTATTTATATAATATGTACCTGTATTGTTTATATACATCATATGTATATGATTTATTTTAAGAAATTGGTTCATGTGATTGGGGGTGCTGGCAAGTCTTAAATCTGTATGGAAGACCAGCAGGCTGAAAACTCAGGCAGGATTTGTAAGTTACAAAACTGTCTGAGACAGTCTTGAGGTAAGAGGAATGTAATTTTGTGCCCAAGTAAGCCACTCAGCCATCTCTTAAACAATTGTTTTCATTTATAATCAGTAACCAGGAAATTCAATATGAAAGGCCCAGAAGATGTTCTCAACAAAGAGTAAATAGTTGGAGAACAATCTAGAACTGAAAGAATTTCTTACAGTGAAGTATTCCTTCCCAGTTCTATTCCTGAATCTGTCAATTTAAATAACTCCTATTTCTTAAAGATCCTCACTTTCAAAGGTGAAAACTCCACATGAAAACCAATCAACCTTAATCATTATCAAACTTTTAAGGAACAGGTGAATTGCTGTACTGTTAAAACTCTCTAACAGAATAAAAAAGATAAAATTCTTCCCAATTTATTTCCAAGACCTGTAGCTTTAGCATTAGGCATCAAGAAGCCTGTGGCCATGTCAATATTTTCACTGCTATCACAGTTTGAGGCAAATCAGATTCTCTGAAATTACATGTTGCTTTGAACAATATATCACAGAAAGAAAACTTCAGAATAACCTATCGTACAAAATGTATGACAAATCTCCTGTATAAACATTAACAAGTTGAATCTGGGGCTTAGTTGCTCAGGTGCTGGCACAGAGAAAGCAGAATTGATATCATGTAGGAGTGAGATTGGTTTGGGCAGGTCAGAAAAGAAGAAAGATGGACAAGAGAATTCAGAGTTTGGGCAAGAGTGGGATGGAGATGCTACGTCATCAAATCTACAATGAAAAAAAAAAAAATCTATAATGCAAAGGGAAGGAAGTGAAAAGAGGTGGGGCTGGTGGAGAAAGGGAAGACCACATCTGTGCACCAGAGGCTCCACTGACAGTCTATTAGGGAATCAAGGGTGATCTTCCCAGGCGGCATGCACTCCAAAGAGCAAGGTCTTCTCCAGAAGATGGAGGAGTGGGGAGGAAGATGACCTCATTTCTTGATCTGAGGAATAAAAACAATGATAATTATAATGATGGACTACTAATAGCTACCATTTCTGAAGCCCCCTACTCAGTACCAAGCTATGATCCTATCTCATTTAACAAAGGTGTGAGAAAATGATCACTTTCTTGGCACTGTAGGAGAAATGGTGCCATCAGGAGACAGCTGGTTACAGTTAAGGTATGCAAAGGAGGAGGAGGTTCCCAGAGGGGTCTGAGGACTGGGGAGTTTGTAGATAGTGGAGAGTGCAAGAAGGCAGAATCTAAGGGTTTAGGAGGAAGGGGACTGAGTGGGAGTGGTGAAAGCATTACAAGGATGACACCGTGGGAAAGCATGAATAACCAGAGGGATGTGTCATATAGCTATGCAATAACAGGGGAAAAGCAGACTTGTAGCACAGGGCATTTAGACTTGATCACCACTTATGGGTTCTCTATGGGGGAAAGAACACAGAAGAGTGAAAGATGGGTGCTAAATCACTGACCCAGAGAAGTCTAGGTTGTAGAGCTGAAAGAGGGCAGAAGGCAGAGCAGGGGCAGCTTAGAGAATCTCTTTCAGGGGTGGTCAGAGGCAGAGTGGAGAGGAGGGGCTGGAGCCTGCAAATGACACTCAGGCCATGAGGAGAGGTGGGTTTTTTCTTGTTTCTCCAGAGAGTTGACATCACTGAATATATATATATATATATATATATATATATATTTATTTTCAGTCTCTCATGAGAATAAGATTTCTGAAGGTTCTTGAGCTGTTTGTCCCCATATGTTATCAATGAATATATATTGAGTTCCTACTGTGTGTCATTAGGTGCTATTGGGAGACAAAGATGCAAAAAACAGGGCCCATGCCCTCAGGAAATGTATCGTCTAGTTGAGAAGAAAGGTCATTGTAAGTCAAATATAAGAAAAATCAATGATAAGACAAAACAAAGTCATAATTAAGTATATCACATTTGGAAAATAAACCATACAGATAAGTAAGTGTCTGAATTCAGAGAAGGGAAGTAGATCCAAGTGGTATGGGAAGGTTTTAGAGGGGATAAGGAGCAGTTTGCATAGGGGGTGAAATAACATTTGGACAAGTCAAAAAGAGTGCCTTCCAGGCATGGACGAAGACAACAACAAAGTTAGAGAGAGGGCAGTAGATGGCTCTTGATGGAGCAGTTGTGGAAAAGGACTAGAGAGGCAGCAAGGCCTCAGTAAGGAGGGCCTTGAATGCCAGACGAGGCAGGAGGTATCCTGAGGGCAGGGAGAAGCCATGATGGTAAAAGTCTTCACTTCCTGCTCTATAAGTTGGTTTCTCCTTAGAGAATAGTTCTTTAAAACATTTCTGTGTGGTCACTTAGCTCCAGGATACTCACAAACATCCAGTAAATAAAAAAATCTTTGCTTTGGGACCAGGCACTATGCTTTTAAAGGTCAGAGTTTGGTAGTTGTTGACAGCTGCTGTCTTTTGTGGGTTGGGATGCAAGAAGAAGAAAAGCGCATCCAGAGGAATGCCTAACCTAGATCTGTTTGTTTTTGTATGTTAACCAAAAGGTTTTGGAATAGACTGAGAAGGAATAAACGCAGTGTGCAAAGCCTGGAGTTTGGGGATCCACAAGAAGAAACAGAAGAAGGCACGTGCTGATGGCTGAATGATTTCCACAAACAAGGGAGGATTGGACATGTTTCAACAGATCTAGTCTTTATGAGTCCTTGTGGGATGGGGACAGGCAAACCCACTGTGTCTGCCTTCAAGCTCATTATAAGAACATATAGATATTAACTGGGAATGTTAATCCAAACTGGGAATGATGAAATTCGTCCTTCTTGTGTATCCAGTTTGCCTAAATGAGCACACGGCTATAGAGATAAGGAATTGTTATGTACGTATGTGTTAATACACATAAGTGCGAATGGCTAATCCTGGGCCTTATGTTAGACTACATGAGTAAAGTTGAACACTTTGAGGAGCAAAGGAATGTTTAGGGAAAATAAAATTTTATTTTATTTTATTATTTATTTATTTATTAAAATTTGTTAAATTTTAATGCAATTTGAGGAGCAAAGGAATGTTTAGTGAAAATAAAATAAAATGCCCATTTGAAGTGAAGTTTAATTTGTAAGGTTAATTATAGGAAAAATAATATACAAAATCCTCATTTATACTTCCTAAATTCCATAAAATCATTATGTCGTCACTATATTTCCATATCCATGTTGTGGTCATGGTCCTTGGTATCCTGATTTCTAAAGAACAGTGAAGATTATTCATCCAGAGCAGAAGTCTTAGAATCCCACCCCACTTCTACATACTACCAGAATATTTAGGATCTCTCTCTGTTCTATTATTTCAGCACCCAAGTCAGTGTATCTTTAATTCTGAAAATTTCAGCTAATAATCAGATCAATTAGATGGGAGAAAAAATATATATGTGAAATTGGAAAAAAATCATTAAGATGGAAAAGGGAAAAAAATACACTGATCAAAGTTGTGTACTTAGTAAAGTCTTTTCTCCCCCTACACATGACGTAAAAGTGTATCTTAGTTCTGTGTCCCTCCAAAAATGCCTGAATTTTAAGTTAATGGAGATTTTTGAATATCATTTGAACTTTAATCACTAAGATTTCCTGGCTATCAGGGACAACACATTCTATGGAAATGGACACACAGGTAGAAGGGCCATGTTTCTTTAGCATTCTCATCCTTCTCATCTCAGGACACTGGATACATTAGTGGAGATATGGAGAAAGTAATTTCTAAATGTCTTACTGAAGGAAGTAAGCTTCAGTAGGAAGGAAATAAGAATAAATAAGAAGGAAATAAGAATAAAAAATTCTTACACTACCCAAAATATCATCACTTGAAAAGGGACAGGGAAGCCACCAAAGAATGAATCCATCATGGGCACCATATCTTAGATCATTCCTGAGCTACTTCTCAAAAGAGTTTATAAAATGAGGTTTAGATTTCTATTAGCATATTATATTTTAGCTGTAAAAAGCATCTACCAATAGAGCACCAGGGTGAGTCTCAGAGCTATTACTGAGCTCTGTTTCCAGCCACACATTGACAGTGATCCCTGCTATATGGAAAACCACCATACACAGATCTCACCACTGGAGACAAGCAGCACTGTGGAGATGGAAATGGGCATAACCAAATTTTAAAAATCAAGTTTAACACAAATAATGAGCAAAATATCTGATGGGGTAGGGGATAAGAGGCCTGGAGGCTTTGGGGGAGAGTAGGAGGTGAGCTCTGAGAGACAGCCTGGGAAGATATATTTAGTTAAAAGGTGAAATTATTACCTCTCTTCTAGGAAATGAGTCAAGGTTTGGAAGAAGAGGTAGAAGTTTTATAACTTGTTGGAGCAAAGGGAAAGAGTTTAATAAACTGTGGTGGGAGACATGAAGACATGTTCCAGGCAAACATTAATGAAGTGAAACTCTCAGGACCAAGGAGCTCCATCCAGCATAAACTCACCCAGTGGAAACATGTTTTAATATTGCTCAATACTAGATATGTTAGAACATATTGTACACTTTGTTTGAGAAGTCCACTTCATGTATCCCCTTCCTGAATTTCAGAAAGCCATGTGGCTAACCCTTCCACTCTTTCCAGGACCCCATTTTTCCATTCTTTGGCCATACTAGGCCAGTCCATAAGTCTAGGTGTATTTTGAGTGCTTTCTCTGCACATGCTCTTGAGGGTGTCATTTTCTCTTGTGAAACATCATTCCCTTTGATCTTTTTTAACGCTCACTAAATGCCAACTCCTTTTCAAATATTCTCCTCATCCTTCTAATTTGATTTTAATCTCTTCCTCCTCTGGACATCTATAGCATTTTCTCCTTATGATGAAATTCAACTTATTTCATCATATATTAGGGTTATCTTGCCCTAATCAATGCCCACTTTCAATATATTATCAAAATTTAAGGGTATATGGACATTTACTTTAACATTCTTTGGGTCCTTGCCTGTATATAGTATTACTCTTGCACACAGAATGGCTTAGTAAATAGTTGTTGAATGAAACAGGATTGATGTTATAAAAATGGCTCCCTTTCTGGAGTACTCCTTTACTGAGAGGTAGGACCAGAGTTTGATACAGCACGGGATTCCTGGGGCTGCATTAGAAGTGGGGGTGGTATGGACTTGGTTCTAAGGTTGCAGAATATGGTCCTAAGGGGATTCACAAGACAGTATTTTAGGGTGAAGCCAGATATGAGAATGAAACAGATAATTCAAAAGAAACATCAACCAAAGAGACAGCAACCATGAGTTCATCAGCATGGAATAAGCTGGTTGGGCAGAGAAATGATAGAAAGTACAGTTAAAGAGTCTTCTCAAGGCCACTGGAATAAAAATATTGGAACCTGGTTAAAGGATTACGTGAAATAAGCTTCTTGTGACACTTTCTTCCTCATCTAGTAAAACTTCAAACCAGCGTTTGCCATCATCTTAGTTCAGATATCATCAACATGGCTTGGTATAAGTTCTTAGTAGCTACTCTGGTGGGTCATCTTAATGATCTAGTTAGATTCCGCTTTTCTTAAGCTTTCCTTTAATATAAGCCTTCAAAAATATTCTTCCAATGCTTTGTTGTTATCTATAAGATACAAAAACCCTGCGAACAGGGTAAGGTTAGCAGTTTTCTCTAATTTGGGTCAAACTGAGTGGCGTAGACTAAGCATTGATTCTTTTTATGAGTGACAGACAGCCTGGCCTCCCAGAACTTGATTATCAGGGTATGTCTCTTTTGACTTTGATTTTTGTGTGGATTCTGGATCTAGAGATTATCATGAGGTCTGGCAAAAAGAGTTCTAAATGTAAATACTTAGTGCAAGTCATACTTATTTTTGCTGAAAAACTTTGTGGTTTGATGTGAGTGTCTCTGAGTTCAAGATACCTTGCTTATACAATGGGATAATAATGCCAAGGAGCCTCATTTGCAAAATCTTAAAGGTAGTAAACCCAATACAATACATTTTTTAGTTTCTTTTTTTAAATTAGTTAATTAATATTTCTTGTTTGTGAGAAACTCAGGGCTGAAGAAGACAGTGTTGTTCCCTCTAAATGCCTACACTCCATGCTTTGGGCTGCTTATCCTATCAGAGCAATTTGTCTTGAGGGATCAGTGCTTTCCACAGTTCCAATAAAACCCTACAGTCTAGAAAAATATTAATAGTGACATCACAGGTCTCTATCTCATTCTTTTTTAAGTGTTTCTGTAAAATGAAAATGATAAAAAGCACTAGTTGATGAGGTTGTGTCAAGGACAAAATGGTAATTATTGCCATTTATTCTGCAGACCCAGGAGTGCCTCTTCTAATCCTGGTGTGAAGGAGACCAAGAGTGGAAATGGACAGGATAAAGTTCCTCACGCCTCCTGGTGCTCCTGACTTTTCAGGCATGTCTGCCCTCTTGTGGCCATGATCCAGAGTCGCTTTGTGGAAGGTGTGGCCAGAGAGGAACCAAGGAGGCAAGTCTGGGTGGGTAAGGAACAGTTCAATAGGGAAATCAGCCTTGTCCTCAGCCTCATCCTCTGTAGGAGATATTGGCCACATCCCTTTTACCTGTCTTCAGTACCTGGAATAGTGGAAAGCACCTTTGGAGGTGAATAGACTTAACTTTGTCATTTACCACCAACCTGAGCCAATTTATCTGAACTCTCTGGGTGTCAGTTTCCCCATTTACACAATAGGGAGAAAAATACCTAATTTGAAACTTTTTGTGTAGGCTGAATGAACTAAGTTATTTAAAACAGTCTGCACAATATCTGGCACATTTTAAGCACTTTAAAAAAGACTTTTATTGCCTTCAAACTTTATTCTTATTTCTGGGTTCATATTGGCAGTTTACTTGGGGCTGGCAATATATATTTCATTATCTTACATCCTTCTCCAAGAAAAAAATGTTCTCTTTCTAACTCTTTTGAAGGGAAAACAGTCGCCCTAGAATTGTAAGTTTTGCAATTATAGAGGGCTAGATAAATATGCCCATTTAAACTTGTTCTCATTTTTCTTTTCAGATTTGCTGTTTTAACTGGGGACTCATTCTTGCCCAGCAGGACTTTTGGATGAGGCACCTTATGCACCTCTGAGGACAAGGACTCTCTTGTTTTCTAGGCATATGCCCGGAATGAGCAGGTCTTTAAAAGCTGAGCACAAGTAAAGTTCGCTGGGTAGCCCTTCTCTTCACTTTCCCTTTGGTCCAACTTTCACACCCTAAACCAAAGGACTGCATGGCCAATCATGTCACTCTCTCTGTGCTTTGTTGGGAAGAGGCCTATTTGAGGAAAGAGACATAATCCCAAGGTGGATTTTTTTTTTTTTTTAAGTGCTATCAGAATCTTTCAGGCATTTGAGGGATAGGTCTTTAATCTCACAGGGGTGACAAACTGACCTCACACAAGTTAGCCTCCCATTGGTGCACTGTAGTCTGCTAGTACCAGTTCACAAGAGCCGATTATGCCTCTCTTCCCAACTTTGCACTGGGCAAAGATCTGAAAGGAGGTAAAGGAATGAGCCATTCAGTTATCTGAGAGTAAACTGTTCCAGGCGGAAGGAACAAACAAATGTCTGGCATGTTTGAGAAATATCAAGGAGGCTGGTATGACTCAAAAGAATGAGCAAGGAGAGGATCTAAGGTCTGATAGGTAATCGTGATTCTGGCTTTCTCTCTGAAACAAAAAGCAGGGTTTGAGTGGAGCAGTAACCCAACATGTTTAACAGGATCATCTGGTTTCAGTGTTCAGACAAGGCTATAGGAAGACAAGTGTAG